TGCTAACATGAATTGTCTATGCCATGCTACGATGTGGGATTCAGAAAAAGACGCTGAAATATCCGAAAGGTCGGACACAGGCGAGAGCGTATTGGGAGATGGAGACCAACCTCCCTCATCCTTGGCCCTATCTCAACGAATTTTTCACAATTGTCGAATAATTGAGCTTTCAATTCATATAGTGGCATCTGGCTGTTTTTTTTAAAGGTTACTTTATACTTTTCTACTTTAAGTAGTTTTTGGAGCATATACTTTTTCACTTTTGCTTAAATAAAGAGGTCAAGTTGATACTTCAACTTTTAAACTGCAGTTTCTATTCTTCTACTTAAGTAACAAATGTGTGTACTTTTGACACCAATGGAAAAAGTATTCAACTATTTGCTCCAGTTAAATAAACAGAGATCAATGTATTTCACTCAGGCAGAACTTTATTTTCATATCTTTTGCAAAGAGAGAACAGTTCATCATACGGCCCTTATTGCATGGTAATCAGCCCTGTTCTGCCTGAGCAGCGTTCGTTCCCCTTTACTTACAATAATGGAAAGTTGTCAGAGTCAAAACAAATTACAGACACTTAAACAGTAACATGTTATGAATAAACCTTGAGAAAGAATCTGGTTTGTTATGGAAATAAGGTAGGTCTTGTCCACAAACACCCTCACACAGGGGAATTGTGTGGCCTTGCAGGTGAAACGGACTGAGTGAAATCAATAAATTAATATATGAAAGAAGAGAAACTCAATTTTCCGACCACAGTTCCTTTCTTCTCTCAGTATCAGCCACTTTGTGCTTATGTTTGCAGATTCATTAGTGCATTCAGCAGCCATGCCTTGAGATCACGTGAAGTACATTTATTGGCACTCTCTTCATAAGTTGTTAGTGTTTTGCTTGATTTGTTAATTAATGTTTCGTTATGTTTTAAAAAGACGTGTAAAATTTGTCACCATGTTGTCATTTTGATTATGTAAATGGAGGAAGAGAAAGCAAAAACTCTGAAAAATCTACCTGTCAAGGTTTGGTTGTAGTTTGGAGCAGAGATGGCAAAAGTACTCACTTTCCGTACTTGAGTAAAAGTACAGATACTTGTGTT